GTGTTCTATTTATGCATTTTTCACTTAACATTAAGTTCCAGGAGATGTCTCTGTTGATGTATGTAGCTGTAGTTCAGTCATTTTCCTACATTAGAATATTTTGCTGTATATCTGTGCATTAATTTTTTCCCCCATTCTGTCATTAATGGAGATTTGGATTATTTCTTCTTCCGATATTACAGATAGGGTTCCAGTGAACACACCTTTAGCAGCCTGTTCTGGTTTATTCCATTCTGTTCAGTTTAAACACTATTCATAAGCTACCACTGTCACACCCACAATGAAGAGTTCCATGAAAGACTTTTCCTTTTGTTGTGTTTTCCCCTTCCCACTGTACTAGTAAGGCCTTGAACAGCAAGGTGAGTTAATATAATTGTGCTTTTTCACTCTTAATTGTAGATCAAGAAGCTACTCTAGAAGTCGGAGCAGAGGATGGTACAGCAGAGGCCGCACAAGAAGCCGGAGCAGCTCCTACCGCAGTTACAAAAGTCACAGGTGAGCTTGTGAACCCCGCCCTCCCGTGTGGTCTCCATCCTGTCTGCTCTTCAGGGCATGCACAGGCAGAGTGGGGGAGCTGTTGAGAAGAATCCTGTCACTGTTGAATACTGGACAGGCCTGTCGTCTCGTCCAGTTGTTTCTAAGAACTGTCAGATTCTCACTGGCTCTTCTCAGGGTGTGATCTTATCAGAGTGAGGAAAGAGAAGCAGTAAAAATATTTAAAAGAGGCCCTGCCCGCCAGCTCCCCCTCCCTCCACCTCCAGTACATCTTCCTTAACCTTAGTTCACCTCTGCAGTCACCTCTTTCTTGACTCGGAGTAGGGATTGGGATAGGAGGACTGATTTGTTAACAGGGGCCACAAGATGAAGCATGTCGGGGGTGACCCCAGGTCTCTATTTCTTCCACGTTCTTGAAACCCTCTTGCCTCTCAGGCATTTTCCAGTGCTGCAGCTTCATTTTACTTACAGACGTCTGACCTGTGCAGACCCTTCCCTCCCCACCCAGTTCGAACCTCCCCAGAGACTTTCGTTATGTGCATCTCATAGAAGAATTGAATAAAACATAAGCTTTCTAATGATAACCAACCTGGCTTTTAAAAAATACAACATAGTTTTGATATACAAATGAAATACAGCTACTGGATTTCATTTGTGTTTTTTCCTTGGTGGGCAAAGAAATGTCTAGATTTTTTATATAGCCTGTCCTTACCCACAAGATGATGGTCCCTCATGTGATTAATATTAGGACATCCAGCAGGAGCAGATCCAGGAGCAGCTCGTACGACCCCCACAGTCGGTCCAGGTACGGACGGGGGTGGGGAACCATTTGTGGGGGCGGGATTGAAAAGCCTTGTTTTATAAAACCCTTCACTTCCTTTTCAAAAGTGCTGTATTCTGTTGAAAAGTGTAGATACCTGTATTTGTCTCATGTAATCCTACCCTATCTACGTGAGGTCTTTTTGACAGCTTTTATCTGTTGGCCCATGGTACTCTAGTGTCAAAAGTGACCATTGATGACCAGTTGTAATGGCAGGTGTTTATTGGATATAATTGCCTAGTAAGATCCACCACCTTCATTCAAACTTAACTCACTGTCAACTTCGTGATATTTTTCAACGCAGAAAATAAATGAACATTTTTCTTTTTACTATGGTAAGTCTGACTGGGGCAATTGTTCAGTGTTTCCAGTACTTGCTGTGCAGCTGTGTCCTCGCAGTGTCATCTAGGCCCTTGTTTTCGAGAACACTGATCAGGTCATAAAAAGAAATGGAAGCATATAAGTATCTGAGTGGGAAAATTGAGTGTGTGTTGTTGCTGTTGAAGCAGGTCCTACACTTACGATAGCTACTATAGCAGGAGTCGGAGTCGAAGTAGGAGCCAAAGGAGTGACAGTTACCACCGAGGCAGAAGTTACAGCAGGCGGTCCAGGTGGGTCCCCCTCCTTTAGGGCACTGCTCGGTACTGTGGGCACTTGGTGCATGAGGTGATAGAAGAGAAAGCATAATCTTGGGAGGACAGAAATATTTTTCTCTTCTCGAATTTCAGCAGTCCATAGGCAGCTACTAAATAAAAGTGGCCGTTGTGTTAAGGGTTGCCGGGTCAGGTTTGCTGGGTATTGTTACATGTGTGAATCCAAAATGGATCTTGTAATACTTACATATCTTTGAATAGTTTGCAAGGAGTAAAGAGAGAAGGTCACCTAAACCGTGGGCCATTCTTTTAAATAGGGCTAGTTGCTGAAAATAGCAAAACAGGTTTGTTAATTTTTTTTAATCAAAAAATGTATACTAAAATGTCATCATTTGCTTCAGCAGCAGAGCTGAGGTTTATATCATCAATTTTTAGTAAAAACATTTTTATATATTACAGATGTTTACACACATTATATGTAACATATTTTGGCTGGTACTGTAAGAGTCTTTGTGTTGACTTTTTATGGTGTCCCTTTCCTAGCTGCTTTTTTGGTCTTAACCCTTCTCCCGTTCGTTGCAACTACTGTCAGTGATCCTCGCTGAATATCGGTATAATCTAAACACGTCCCTTGTTTGAAACTCTTGAAGGCCTCCCTACCTGCCAGCTCCAGCTGGGGCTTTTCTGTCTTCCCTCCTTTAATGTGCTAGAACCTTTCCTTCTGCCTGGAGATACACACGCCTCTTGAAATGGCCAATTCCCACCTACCTACCCCGCAGGCCTCAGTTGCAACCCACTGCCCCAGGAGGCCTGCCCTGACTGTTCACCCTGAGTTACGCCACCCCCAACTCCCTGCCGTGTGCCCTATTTGTCTTGTCCACTATTCTGTACTGTCCTTGAGCCCCAGGAATCTGTACTTGGTCTACTGTGTATGTCCTAGCATTTGGCAAAGTGACTGGCTCCCTGAATTTTTTTCAAAATAACTGAATGGTGACAATTGCCAGGTCCTCTTGACTTAGTTTCCCAGAGGTCCTATCTGCATGCACCTGCCCTACCTTCCTCCCACATCCCTCATGGGGTCCCCATTTATTTTTTTTTGGCTTCCCTTTTTTTTTTTTTTTTTTTTTTAATTTTTTTGGAGTGAGGGGTAAGTGAGGGAGGGAGGGGCAGAAGGAGAGGGAGAGAATCTTAAGCTGCCCCACGCAGAGCTCCATCTCACGACCATGAGATCATGACCTGAGCTGAAATCAAGAGTTGGATGCTTAACCGACTGAGCCTCCCAGGCGCCCCTTGGTTTCCATATTTTTAATGAAACTATTTGTGTACCTTTTTTATCCCTTGCTTCCTCGGTCTCATTAAATATTGATGTTCAGTTTGGGTAACATGGAAGATTATTCTGCTCATTTGCATGTGGATTTCAAGTAATTTCCCAAGATGCGATGTTTCTTTATCTTAACGTTGATATTACTATTCTGTCATTTAAAACGTCTTTGAAAATTCTACACTGTTGCCACAGTCAAGACCCCACTCATCCACCCACTGTGCTCTGCCACATCAGTATTGCTTTCAAGCCACTCATATCAAAAAAGAAAAAAAAAAAAAAAAGGCTTCAAGAGGAATTCAAAGGGTTGAAGTTAAAAGGTGTCTGTATATTTCTTTTGTTATACAGGAGTTGTAGATCTTATGGCTCTGACAGTGAAAGTGACCGAAGTTACTCTCATCACCGGAGCCCCAGTGAAAGCAGCACATATAGTTGAAAATGTCCCCCCCCCCTTTTTTTATACAAATTATATCTTATTTGTAAATATCTGGTAACTTAAAAGTTGGAGAAACTTAATGGCAGTCTGTTGTTCTATTTCAATATTAGAGATAAGTTTCAAAAATAGGCACTTAATTGTTATCGTTCATTTACATGTACACAGAATTTAAAATACAGATATGTCTCCTAAAAATATTTTTATGCCACATTTTACAGTAGCCAACTATGGAAATGAATTTCATTTTCTTGAATCAAGAAATCATGAAATTTAAGTATCATTTGCAATATTATTTTAGACAGATGATTTCTTTCCATCTCATGTATTCCTTAGAATACAGATTCTTTTTGCCCATTTTTCAGGTTTTAGCATATATGCTGCCAAGCATAGAACTGTGAAGAACTGTTAAAGGTGGCCAAATATTTATGTACCAATCACACAGTCTCATACATACGTGCTCTTAAGAACAAACCACCCAGAATTGATACTTGATGGTAGCCAGGAATATAAGGCAGTGGCTCTGGAGTTCTTCATTCTTTCCTTACTTCTTGGTTGTCTCAGAGGATCGGGAAAAGTGGTCATCATACAGCCCACTCTGGCTGGCAGGTGAGGTTCAGAAGAATAAATCGGCCTTAACTGTGTACCTGCACTGTCCCTAAGGACCTAATGTTTTATGTGCTTTTTAATGAGTACTATCACAAGTTTAGATTGTAGAAACAATTCTATTCCAGTTCATGTTTTGGTGCTCGGTACCTTTTGGTGCCTCTTTACGTATACTTTACGTTAGAATCTCCTAGAAGAGAGATTATTATTATTATTATTATTATTATTTTAATTCACTGGCGCCAAACGTTCCTTCTGAGCTGTATTCACTTTAAATATTTGGAGGGCTTCTCTCCAGCTCAGGTGTGGCCTGGGGTCCTCCGGAGCAGGCAGGACTGACCCAGAAGGTTGTGTGGCCGCTCAGGGCTGCTACACGTAACTGACATGTGTGCCTCGGGAAGAGTCAATTGAAGAGTGGACTTCAAAGTACCACCAAAACCTCACTGCCACCATCCTGGAGACACTTGGCAGAGCTTTTAAGTCTTTCAAGTAAGAGAGAGAGATACCACAACAGCAGCTGAACTGTTCTAAGCACCAGCATGTTTTTCCTCTTTCTGCCGTGACCCGCTCTGACTCGGTGAAGCCTCACACGACACGAGGAAGTCCGGGACATCACACAGGGGAAGAGGGTGTGCACGACTGCCACAGATGACACATTTTCGGTTTGGGGTGGTTCCTCCAAAAAGGATTTGACCTGTAAAAACTGGTGTGATTTTTTTTTTTTTTTTTTTTAATCTTTGAGTTTTTCCCCCAAGTGTACTTAATCACCTTAGTGCCAGTTTAATCAGTTACGCAGAAGAAAATCCTACTGGATGTTGGGTGTGGAACTCTGCACCAACCCAACCCAGGCCTTGGCTTGGGGTACCTGGGAAGTGGGAAAGAGCCCTCAGTTGGAGGGATTTGACAGCCTCGGATGGGTGGAGGGGAGACCTTGGATATATTAAAACGGTCATCCGTAAAAGGTTCATAAACAGGGTTAAGTGGTCAGCTGTTTGCCAGGTTGATAGAGTACGTCAGAAAACAGGACCCAAGTCAAATAAACGGACTTCTTAGTGAACACAAAACAATGTGTGATTCATGTGAAGGGTTTTCAAAAGTTGCCTGTAATATTCAGTGGGGGGAAAAAAACACATTCAGAAGCCCAACAAACTGCCAAATCTAATTAGGTTAAGAAAAGTTACCCTTGGACGATGTATTTGTTTTCTGCTGCTGTGTAACAAAGTACCCCAAACTTAGCAGCATAAGACAACGCCTATTTCTTAGCTCACCAGTTCTGTAGCTTGTGAGTCTGGCACAGTGTGGCTAGATTCTCTGCTCAGGGTCTCACAAGGCTGAAATCAAGGGTCAGCAGGGCAGCATTCCTTTATGGAGGCTGTGGGGAAGAATCTGCTTCCAAGTTCACTCAGTTCCTTGCTGGCTGTCATCTGGAGGCTTCTGCCTCAGCCTTCTCATTCCTTCTCGCGTGCTCCCGTCCATCTTCAAATTCTCAATGGCCCATCCTCTCACACCTCCCATCCCTCTGCCTTCTTCCTCTGTTTTAAGGTTCATGTGATTAGATCAAGCCCACTGATCAAGTCTCCCTGTTTTAAGGTCAGTTCTGCCACAGAACATAACATAATCACAGGAGTGACTGCACAGGCGCGGGTTCCTGGGATTTGGGCATGGAGTTGGGGGGGGCGGGGCGCAGGCCATTCAGAACCCCACCTACCACAGACCATCACTGCCCGTTGCGCTGGAGTTTCATCCCAACAAGGTGGGCCCTGGAAGCCTCATTTGTTTCTTCCATGGACAAGAACAGCCCTCAGCCGTAGCATTCAACTGTGTGTTTACTGAATGAACTACAGAAACAGCTTTTCTGCCTAGAGGGGATTGTTCTGTATTTTAAGTTATTTTTTAATAAAATTTAATTATGTTGTGTATTGTGCTTCTTAATAGAAAATGTATTATTGGACTGTTTTTGTAATGTCGTTTACTGCAAATGAAACATGATATAGCTGGTATTGTTCAAAAACTGTAGAGAATACTTTTGTACATATTGGCAATGTCTAATTTGTATACACTTCATTTAAATGTTCCTAAAACTTGAAAAGGGGGACCTTGTAGAAATTAAAATATATACTTAGTCTAAATCTGTGCCTGTTTCATCTCTCTTTACTCGTCCAGGCTTCCAGTAATCTTTCCGAAATGGAAAAGAAAATGTTGAGTCTCTTTGCTGAGCCAGGCGGCAAAGAGACTTCGTCTTTGCTGTCCGTTTCCATCTGGCGGCTGAGTATCGGCGGGGCGTGAGGTGGGGCGGGAGAGGCACTGCAGGCGGAGATGTTCACCTGCCCAGATGGTGCACCTGCTCAGTGATGGTGCTTGGTCTCTCTTGCCCTGCAAACTCCAGGTTTCCTCCAGGCTCCGTTGTTGTCATTCAGCCGAGGTGACCTGCATACAGAGGTCTTTGCTGAGGAAGGAATATGTCCCATCTTCTCTGGGAGTTGCTGCCTTGGGGACAGAACGTTTACCTACTAAACCACCCACGGCCTCCACACTTCCCTCTCTACCAGTTCACTAGGCACAGAGCACTGGCTCTTAGAGAAAACATTCATGGTGATATTTTTAGTGTCCACATGAGAATTTGCAGGGCAAGTACAATTAACTTTTTTCTCCTCGGGACTCAGAGGAATTTGTATTTTCTTAGTGAATACCTCATAACTTCTCACAGTAAGACTTGCAGAGATTCAGTTTTCAGAATTAACAGTAGACCCCCAAGTCAGGCAATCCCTGACAATAGTCCAATCTGGATTCATTAAAATTTAAAGAAAACTTCAGAGTCTTACTGTAGGGAAATCCCCAAGTGAGGTTCTTTTTTAGTGAGCTCCAGCATTGTGTTCGCATTCTCATAGTGATCATTTTGATCAGCTGGGCAGCACTGGGGGGAAACATGTCAAGGATTTTGGCCTTGACTGTTCTGAATTAGCCGGGCGTTAAATAGGAGGTAAGAGAATTCAAGAAAAATGTCCCTATCACAAGTGAAAACTGGCTGGACACCACTGTTGGGAAGGGAAAGGAAACTGTAGTCTGTGTAGAGAGAAACCTGCCACGCAGGTGATGCAAACTAGCTGACTAGGTGAGGCCCGGAAGCCATGCCTCACATGCTAGAAGAGCCTGGACTCTGCTGGTTTCTACAAAGAAGTCCCATGCAGCACTTGTGAGGGGTTGAGCTGGGAAGCAAGCTGAGAGGAATCCTGCTGGGCAGGGAGAAGTCCTTTGAGGACAGGGGTAGGGAGGGGGTACCCTGGAAGAACAGGGCACCTGCTCGTCTTCAGGACCCACTCCGGGCAGCTCCAGTCAGTGCCTGATGCTGTGTGTGTGTGAGGCCAGGGGAGCACACTGCCACAACACACACACACAAAGGGGCAGGAGGCTTTAACGGTCTGTTTTCCTTAAAGTTTCGGTAGAGGGCAGAGGCAGTGCCCTTGCCCCTTTCTCTTCTCCTCCCTGTGAATCAAGGCCGGAGTGGGGCTGTGCCGAGCTTCAGGCCAAGTGCTTCTGCCCCTTAGAGACCCTGGGCCCACCGTTCACAGCTCTGCAGGCTGAACTGAGTTTCAGAGCCCGGCCCCAGGACCCAGGCCAGCCTGAGGACTGTTGTGTCTGAACCGGCATAGAGCCCTGAGGAAATCAAGGTAAAGAAAGTGACCTCAGGCTGCAGGAGAGACCCCCGCATCCTGTCTGTTCCTGGGCCTCTGACGGCTCATCTGCACCAAGAAGACGTGGATTGCCCATTCCTCGGCTCATAAGCCCTAAAAGAGGGTGCGCGCAACTGGCACAACTGGCCATGGGAATCCGTGGTGCCCATCCTTTTCCCAGACCCGTCTGGAGAGGAGTCGGCCTCCCAGAGGGCCTACAGGGAATGGAGGCCTGGGCTGCCACTCCCCCAGCCCCAGGTTACCCGGGTCCTCCTGCAACTAACTTCTCTACCAGCAGGCCAGATTCCCAGAGAAAGGCTGCCAAAGACCCCACTAATGTCAATGCCTCCAGCCTAGTTTGATTTTATTTTGAAGAGATAAAGGACCTCTGTGAGCAACGAGTCTGTGGTATAGTCCATAAGGGGTCTGGACCAGAGCCAGACTTTCTGGGTTCAAGTTCTGCTCTGCCACTCTCTAGTTTGTTAACTAACTAGTTAGATTGCTTGACCTTTATAATTCAGCTCCTCATCTGAAAATCTGGGATACCAAGGCCTCCCCCTTGGGAAATAGGGAGAATTAAATGCTTAGAGCCAAGCATACATCAAACGCCCAGGGGATGCGGGCCCTGGGATCGCCTCCAGGAGGAGGGTAGGAGCCCACAGGTTTCATGTGGAGGGCCAGGCTCAAGTCACCAATGAGAAGCCCACAGTCCCTTGAACCAACAGGGAGGGAGAGGATCCTGGAAGCTACTGGTGAGGCATGCCAAGGCCATGACGTTTACACAGCAGGAGGGAACGAGGCAACCTGCTGGTTTGAATTAGGCCCCCACCCCGGCAGCTGTAGCCTATTAGTGTGGCGCTGAGTGGAGGCAGAACACAGGGGCAACACCCCCCGACTCCACACTCGGAGCTCTGTGCTCCCGTCCCTGTAGGGCCCTGGGTCAGCCTCTGGTGGGTAGCTCGAACATCCCTTTCCATCCCACCGACTTCACGCTGTCTTGTCCCCTTCGGTTTTCTGACACTGTCCACTCTGGTCCTTCCCCATCCCAGCTACGGCAGCTACACAGCCTCCTGCACCCCAGGGAGGCTGAGTCCTGTGCTGTGCAAGTGTGCGTGCACACATCCCCCCAACCACCTCTGGGCTGTTTGTTCTCTCCAGGATCAGAAGAGGTGGGCCTGGTGTCCCCAGCCAAGCTTGGGGACTGCCCTCGCACAGTTTGGGTGGCCCCATTTGAGCCCACCATACCGGGCTCTTCAAACAGCTGCAGTCCCATGTGACCCAAGTGCCAGTAGCCTCTCCCAAAGCTGGCTGCGCCCTCGGGCTTCCCCAGTAGATGGGCTGTAGGCCAGAGAAGCAAGAGGGAAACAGCTGTGGTCTTCAGGGAGCCTTGAGCCCCCATTCCCTCTCTTCTCACCCCAACTCCAGCCCCTCTTTGGCTTGACCGCCACAGCCAAAGCCAATCCCAAAGGGGCCAGGGGCCCCACCTTCGTTACTTAGGCTGGCCACACCCCTTGCCAAGCTTTGGCAGAAAGTAGACCCATGAGGGTGTCTCGTGCAGTCCTCTCTGCCAGGATCCTCCCAGCCCGAGGGGAGGCCACACTCTCCCAGCCTCCCCTTTCCCTGGCTCCTGACACTGGTGCCTGGCTGCATTATCTGTACTCCTCTGGGCCTCACTGTCCTAATCCAAGCAATGGGTACACAATCCATCCCTTGCCCCCTCCCAGGTCAGTGCAAGGACCCACTGAATCAGATGAGGAAGCGGGTTGGAACCGAGGAAGAGGCAGAAAGCAGCCCTGAGGTGACCAGCTGGTCCCACATGCTGGCCGGCTCTGGCCTGGCCTCAGCCTGAAGCCTCTGGGAGCTGAGCTAGCTGGCTGTGCACCCACCATGGCCACAGAAACGCAGGGTGTCTGCAGTGGCCGCCTCTGGGGGCATGTCCCCAGCTGTGCCCCCACCTCTCCTCCCGTGTCTTTATTCACTTGGGGTCTCTCCCACGCTGCATCTAGCTATGTGCATTCCTCCCCTTCCTCTTGGCACTCTTTGGTCGCCCCCATCTTTGCCCCTGAGATGTCTTCTCCCTGGCCCCAGCGTCAGGAGGCCCTTGCAGGAGGTCTTGCAAAAGACCATCAGACGTGTTGACGGTGTCACCCTGGGATCTTTGCCTCTGTTCCATTCCCTCTCCCGGCACCCAGAACCAAGTCAATCTGAGCAGGCCCCAGAGACCCTGCCCACTCACGAGGAAGATGGCAAACCCAGGGGATACTGCGACAGCTGGGCAGGGGCTGCTGTGTAAGCACAAGGGCACGTGTGTGAGGGGTGTGGGTATTGCCAGGACAGGGGCACTATCACAGTGACCCAAACGGGGCAGCAGCCAGCTTGGGGTGGGGCGAGGGCACAGAAAGGCCCCTGAATGATGACATGGGCCACACGAGAGGCCCACAGAGGCCCCCTCTCCACCCTGGTGGCCCAGCCGCCACCTGGGCCCTGCCAGGCCAGCGCCCTGCGGTCCCCACCCTGCCGCCTGCTCAGCCTGGCAGCGTTCCTTTGCAGCCTCCTGCCAGCACAGCTAGCCCCCTGCCCCCACTGGTGTCCGTGCCAGAGCAGCATTCCGCAGGCCAGCAGAGACTGAGCAGGGAGGCTACTCAGCAGTGGTCAGGTCACACGGCTGAGGGGCACAGTGGGGCCTGGGCATCTGGCCCCCACTCCTCTCATCTTGCGTTTCCCTAGTGCTGGGCCGGCCACCGTTAAAGGCTTGGTCGCTGCAGCCGGGGTCGGGTTCTTGCATCTCCTGCCCCAGGTCCCCGCCCTGTGGAAATCCAGAGGAGGCCACCAGGTAGGTATGGGCCAACCAGCGCAGAGTAAAAAGAGCTCTGGGATGCCCTGGGGAAGGGGGCTGTGGGGGGCAGGGCTAGCTGGAGATCCTAGACTCACCCTCAGATCAAAGCAGCTCAGGCCAGAGGGTGGGGGTGGTGAGCGCGGCTGGGGTACGGGGGTTCGGTCTCTCAGCTGGGGTCGCTCAGGGGAGCAGGTGGAAGCATTTCTGCAGCTGGTTGGGGAGTGGGCGCGCCCAGCTTCCCCATTTCAGGGCCGCCTCCTACTCCGACCCCGCCTCTGTGGCGCAGCTGGAAGGCACCGAGATTAGACTCTCGGACGAACTTCCCGGCAAGAAGGGGGCTCGGCGCGAGAGAGTGAGGCCGGGGCCCATCCGCTAGGATGGGAGCAGTGGGACCCGGCTGGGGTCCCCTGCGGCCCGAGGCAGAGCAGGCTGCACCGGGACCGCGCACACCACGCGTGTCCGCGCCCCCCGCCGGCACGCAGGGCGGCCTGGCCCTTTAAGCGTCCAGACGGCGGCCCCAGCTGACGCGCGGGCTCCAATCGGCGCCCCGCGCCCCCCGCCCGCCGCGCCGGAGGCTCTGGGGCCGCAGCTGCTCGGCTGCTGGACTCGCCGCGGCCCTGCGCCTCCGCC